TCAGTAAGTTTAAAATTTTTCAAAATAAAAGTTGGAAAACAAACATAAATCTCTACCTCACTCTGAAACCCAGTTTTGCTCGTTTGTACGAAGCTCTAACATGTCAAAAGGTGAGTCCAACTTTCCACGCAAGGGAACTGGACTAGTCTAACAGTTTCCTCATCAAGGACTGGCTCAGTATGAAGTCTGTTTCCAAATGTGGGCCTATACAACTAGAAGAGAGCTTTGTGAAGGCGTTTCCTTTTCATTGTCACTTCTGGGACAATTTCTAGGTGCTGTTTCCTTTTTCATCCTTGTACCTATGTGTGAGGCCTGATAACTTTGGAGGCTTCTACAAGGGAGAAGGGTGGCAAGATTCAGGGAAGCACAACAAAAACTTTCGATAAATCAGCCCTGAAGCAATCTGTTTTTTTTTTTTTTTTTTTTTTTTTTTTTTTTTTTTGGTTTTTCTCCGGTACCGGGAACCGAACTCATGACCTTGCGCTTGCCAGGCAGGCGCTTTTGCCACTGAGCTAAATCCCCAGCCCCACAATCTGTTTCTTTTGCTCTTCCAGTTTTGGGGATCAGTCAACAACTTCACTGTGTGAGTAAAATGCACCATCTCATCTGAGCCCTACCTTGAAGCTGCCCTCACATTCAAGTTCCTCATCTCTCACTAGGCTGATTTTAGTATCTCCATACCAAACTGCAATGGGCACCAGAATTTTCATGAGAAAGGCACAACCTTTGTTTGGCAACGTATATAGATCAGTCATGTAGAGAAGAGAGTAAGACTCCCGGTCAGGAGGATGGACAGCAACCAGTGACCACATGGACGGCTGCATTGGTCCAGGTCCTCCAGAGAAATGAAAGCAATGGACACGTGTGTACTTATCCACATAAAGATTTATTTTTAAAAATTGGCATATATGATTGCAGAAGCTTAAAAAATCCAGTCTGATGGGATTGGCTGGCAGGCTAAAGATTCACGGAAACATTGCCGTTCAAGTCCAAGGGTAGTGGTGGGCTGCAGGATTTCTTCCTGCTCAGAAGAGGTGAATCTTCATTGCATTCAGGCCTTCAATTTATTTGATGATGACCACCCACATTACAGAGATAAATCTAATCTACTTCATTCAAAATTCACCTAATTCAATGTTAATCTCACCCAAAAACATTTTCATAGAAACATCCAGAAAATGTTTAACCAAATATATGGACCCAGTGGCCCAGCCAATGTGAGACACAACTAACCATCACAATGGAGGAACTTCTTAGCTTGGGCAATGAGCATGCTTGGATTTGCTTTAGAAGAAGATGGGCAGGGGAGGAGGAGGGGTGGAGTAGTGAACTACATGCCTTCAAACTCCTTCTTACATTATGCTTTCTAAAACACATGCCCACTCCATGCTGTGCCATACCATGCAGTCCCATTCCACTCCAATCCATCCCAGGGATGCACACATCAGATCTTGAAGTGAACCTTAAGCTAAGCATAAGGTGATTGTGAAATTGTGATAATGCAAGCAGTAACCCCCACCCCATGTGTCCCCATGTTGTACTCTCCAAGTTCACAGAAATCTTCTGGAGGCTTTGATTTTTCACTGGGCATAGAATTCAAATCTAGGAATCTATAACACAATGCACATTTCAGATATGGGAGGCCTGGTGGACTATTTGTATTACAGAGCTACTCTCCCTACCTTAAACTTTCATAACACTTTGGCCAGTTCTGCCGCTGCCTACCCATTCATAGTTTAAATATTTAGAAAGTGTATTTACTTAATTATTCTAAGAAGCTGTAACCTACTTTTGGTCAAGGATTTTTGTCTTATGTACAATGCATCATACCTCATATTAAGTAGTACATTTTCTTCATAGAAGAGTAACTCAAATATGTACTTTATTTTATGCAAATAAAATTGCTATTAGTAACTATAATAACATGGACTTTTGAGTGGTTGAGCAGAATAGACTCTTTGTAATTTTCTAATGTTATCCCCATGTTTTAGGTATATCAAATATAACATATGCTCATTTTAAAGTTCAAATTGATACATATACAGTAACACCTTGGTTCACAAATGCTTTCATTTGCAAACTATTCTGTTCACAAACAGAAACATTCAGCAAAAACTTGCTTCCATTCATGAACTCCACATTGGGTGATGAACACCTTGGCCATCTTCCCCAGAATCGAGGATTGAATTAGATTCATGAACCGAGGTGCAATTGTAGTACAAAGGAGTCAACGTGAATGCTCAAATGATGATTTGGTTTCATGCAGAAGATATGACAAAGCAATGTCTCCAAATCAGCCATGACACAGGAAATAAGTTCCATAGAATGAACAATGATGTTTAACCCTCCGTGGCCACATCTGCTGTACCACCTGATCTATGGTCAAGTGTCAAAGGGCAGAGAAGTCTAAGGCAATGGTAAGGCCAGCCTTGAGATGCTGAACTGACCTGTATCTTTGGGATGGATGGAAAGTTCTAAAGGACCTGGACAGCAGCTCACAGCACAGAATTTCAGTGTCTTGCAGTGCTCTTTGAGATAACAGACTGTTAATATGCCCCTGGAAACTGTAGCTACTGGAAGAGCAAGAAGCTTTCATGATGGCTATAGACTTGTTTAAAAAATTCTTTGGGTTTTCCTGCTTTAAGCCTGCTTACATAAGTCTGATGTTGCTGATGTCATCATGGCCTTGTAAAATTGTATCTCTCTTTCCCTCTCTTATACACACAAACACAGATATAACACCATGAAACTATTAAAGAAGAGAGATCATGTAGAAGTTGTTCCTGTATTAAAAAAAATGAAATTTATTTCTGAAATCCACATCACTCAAGTGTATGCTGGGTAGGCGTTCATTGGTGAATTTAGACTAAACGGGAAGTGATATCAGTTATACTTATTACACCGCTGGGAGAAATATATTAAATCCAGACAGCACAAGGACAAAGCACAAGGACCTCCTTGTGTTGCCAGCTACCATGTGACTTTGGTGGGAAGACAATGCAGTATATACTGTGAAAACCCGCACTGGCCATTTGGGACTAAAACAATTTTTTTAGAGAATACAATTTTATTCTAGCATTGAATTTTCTTCTTTAAATAAAACCCCAAGATATTTTAATGTCAAGTGTATTCTATACTTATTACTTTAACTATTTCATGCTGTTGTTCCCTAGTCATTAAATTGGAGAGAATAAGAAAGAGTGAAACTATGGATGTTTAGGCTGGAGATCATAGCTAGAGCCCAAGGAAAGGCAAGGCTAAGGAAATGAGCAAATTATCTACACCTGTCTAATTCCAGATGCCACTGAAGTATCCAGGAATCACCTGCTAGAAGAAATATCAACAAATAAATTACTTGAAGAACATGACAACATCATGTGATTCCTTGAGAGTTGTCTCATTGGTCTATTGGCTGCAAAGCCTCCTGGGCTGAACTGAAAGGCAAATGAAAAGAAAGCTGGAGAGCTGGTTTGGCTGCTTGTGTGGTTTGAAAGGAACCTTCAGAAAATTAGGACAAAAACATATAGATCTAATGTCCAATTTGCCATTTCATTACAAAGTCACACTCTGAATGTAGGACCCGAGTGGGTTAGATCCAGCCTTGAAAGTGTTACGGTACCTCACCAGAATGTGAGACAAAACAGACTTTTCTCATTTACTGGCCCCTGCCTTCAATGAGTATTTCTATGACAGCACGCAACTAAAAGCTTTACACTGATTTAGTGAAACTAGCCTTCTTGGTTTACTGCCTCAATTTTAAAGAAATATATAATCTTTTGGTGAGTAATTTCTTTTGTAAGGCTGGTGTAATCGCCAGCAGAGTACCTAGGAGGCTTTCACTGTGAGGAAATAACCTCCCGAAAACTTACCCAGAGTGTTCACACGGAGCTGGGTATGGAAAGCCAAAGCAGCCATGCACCGAGCTTCCCAGTGAGTGAGGGGTGGGCTTCTACAGGAGCAGCGCATTAGGGCAGCCCCTGGCTTTTTCCTTTCTTTGCATACAACGAACAACATTACAAAACTCAGTGTTAATTTGGAAAGGGTTTTGAGCCAGTTGTAAAGAAAGCCAAAAATCTATTTTGGTCTGATTTTTTTTTTTTTTTTTTCTGAGTATGAATGAAGGGTCGTATTTGGCTGGTTTTGTGTTTATTTGTACATACATAAAGGTATCTGTTGAACTTTTTATGATACTGCTATTCATTCCTCCCCACCTTACCCCTCGCCTCCACTTCCCATCCTCCCCATCTGCCACTTATCCTTTCCTTGGCTGAGGCCACTAAGCCTGGGACCAGACCGCCTGGGAAAGCCGCCTGAAGTCAGAGCCTCCCTTTTTCATCTGTAAAATTAGGACATGGACAGAACGTAACTCATCATTTTTGTAATGAATAAAGGGAACAAACATAATGCTCAGGACGTTGCCTGGTTGCATTTACTACCATCCTTTTTGCAGAAGAGACTTTTCTAGGTCTTCGACTGAGACATCATGTAGTAAGAAACAGACTTTTTCAAGAGCTTATTTTAGCCACTGCCTAAAAAGATATTGTACTTATTAATGGTTTTGTTTTGAAAAGCATCTATAGCCCAGTTTTCTTATTAACCCACAGAAATCAGCCAGCCTTAGTTTTGCTACATGGATTTTACTCTTAAATGAAATACAAAGTCTGAAGAAATTCAGGATTTCTTAATTCAGGATTTCTTAATTCAGGATTTGATCTGAGGATTTGGTTCTGGACTGTAAAAGATGTGCTTTTCACATCACACTATTTCTGCACCACTTTTTAGTACTGTATTCATTAAAATTTTAAGTGAAAAATCCCTCCTTGGGTGCTGGTTGTTAAAAAAGAAGAACATCATTCTTTAGTGTGGATCCTATCTTGTTCTGTTTCAAATCACTATGCACAAGTAGTAAAACTTTTCATAACAAAGGTTTAATTATGATTGTTAATAACTATGATTTCCAAAGTATTTGAGTCAGCCTTAGTAATAATTAGGGAGTTCTGTTCCATACAAAATGCTTTATTTAACCTTCATGCCTTCATTCAGATAATTATACAAATGCATACAGTTAAAGGTTTAAACTCTATTTCGGTTCACAGCTCAATTCATAGGAAAGTTGAATACAGAAAAGCAATGCACCAACAGAATATGTCTGAGACACCATTAAAAACGATAACACTTGTTCATTTAAATCTCTGAGAATAGACTGGAATAATCATCCTCTGAGAGAATCTCATTAGGAGGGTCTCCCTTTACATTATCATAGGGCAAAAAAAAATCACCATTTTACAGTAAAAGGAAAAAAGCTCTGAATATATTTACAATACATACACTATACATAAATACAAGAACAACACTTACATAATATTAATAAACTTATAACAGGGGCTGCCTAAACACTACAGAGTATATAAATGCAGAGGAAACTATTAGGAAATTAGAACTTTAGATAAGCTGGAGAAATAAATTCATTTGCAATTAAAACTCTGAACAGAAAACCAAATGAAGATTTAAGAATTCAACACATTTGCTTGCCATCATCATTGGGGGACTTTATCCTTTAATGTGTAGGGTCTCCTCTGGGCACCTAGCTCTCTGGGTTCGGAGCCCCAAGAGTCTTGTAGATTGCATCCCTAAAGTGAGTCAGATGCAGCCCATTTATTCAGTTTGCTGTTCAGAGGCTTCATGCCTAGAATAATTGCTTTGTAAACTAAACAATGTTTTTGTATTTTTACACAGAAAGGTCTTGTGATCCAATCACCATGTGTAATGAGCTAAGTGTCAAGGAAAAGAAAAGGGATGCCTGCTTGACTTGGCCAAAGAAGGTATTTTTCTCTTTATTCTCATGTAGTTTTTTCAAATATGACTGAGAGATTTATTTGCAAGAAGATGACGTTTGAATTGACCCCCACACACCAAGAGCAAAGTCTAGACTACTACTAATTATAACTAAGTCATTTTAAGTGGCAGGTGGGTATCTTAAAGGTGGTCTGTTCTCATCATTTCACAACACAAAGTTCTGAGTACATTCTTCTATGGACAAACACGAATTTGCTGGTTTCTCTTTTTAAAAAATGACCATGACACACATAATTGCATTATGAGGCAGGATGACATAATATGTAAGACGATGTTTTCAAGCTGGTTTTGTTAAGTAGTTACCTCACATCCACAGAGTTGGTTTGTTACATGATGCAATGTGTCCCACATAGACATGAACAAAACAATACAGCCAGCATCCCGTGGGGGGGACAGTGGTTTCGAAAAATGAATCTTTAAACACAACAAATTGTGGACAGACAAGTTGATAGGAAAGAGCCTTGTGTATAGGCACCAGTGCCCCAGTTCAACAATACCCATCCAATGTAATAAGGTTTGAGGAACAAAATATACTTGTGGTGGGGATGTAATCATAAATTCTGCCGTGGGGAAACTAGAAAAAAGTGAGGCAAAAGCATTTTCTGTGATGTTTTCTGTTGTATCTTTAGAGCATGAAATTAGCAGAAAGGGAAGATATTACTGCGTCCTTAAATGTATGTTTTTGATTGCTTGGACATTTTTACTACTAGATTTGGACTCAAATTCTACCCTTCTACATTCACCCTCATTTCTCAATAAAAATGAATCCCTGTGAAAGTCTTGGTTAACCTGCTTTTGAAAAAGATAATTCACTGGTCACTGGCTGTTTCTTTGCACAAAGGGCAGATTCTGTGGTCTGAAACACTTTAAATTTCTAGAGACGAAATCCAGAAAGAAAAAGTACTGATGAGATTATTTCCGCTATTCATCTCTTTTCAACTCAAAGTGGTGGTTTTGTCATTGAGAAATTATTGCTGGTGAAACCCAATTAACTGAGAAGAGTCCCCATCTGCAAGCATACTTGCTTTCAGCATGGAAGAGAATTTGTTTATACAGGTTTTATCTCTTCCCTCCGCCAAGTAACAAGGAGAAAGATCATAATTCAGAGGATTCATTTTCAGGAAAAGAAACACTATGAGAAATGACATTCTCTTAATGTTTTCAAAGTCCATTAGTACTTCCATGAATCAATACTGTCAGAGACCTTGTTCTACATGGAAGGGAAGGGATTTCAATTCTCTGATGTTAGACAGCTCCTCACATAAAACTCAATTAAACTAACAACACTATAAACAAATTATTTATAAGATTATTTAAAGCATTTCAAGACGGTGCTGTTAAGTGAGAAATCTGAACAGGAATTATCTACTGACTATCAGCTGAATGTTTATGACTGCCACTCCACTAACACCTGCAAGTAAATTCTGAATTAATAACCAGCTCCATGGAGGTAGATTCTAGCAGGTCTACATGTGTAGAATTGAGAAAAACCAACACAGGCAAAAATGCTAGTAAACTGGGCAAAGTGTTGATGATTCTTAAGCTCCAGGCGAAACATTTGGGAGGAAAGCGGTAAGTTCAGGGAGACACCAAGTTGCTTCTCTTTGTTTATGCTGATTCTTCATAAATGAATTTCCAGCAAGGCCTGATTTCAAATATTTTGTACCATTGTCAAATCTTGTATTATATCTTGTCCTGATGTTTTAACTTGGAAAATGACTACTTGTGCAGGGTGTCCACAATAAAACTTAGAATCAGTGAGAGGTGGCTTCTAGGAACAAATATCCTGTGTGGGACAGTGGACAGAACAGAGAATTCAGAGTCACAGCAAAGGTGGCTTCATATTCCCACTCAGACGTTTCCTCCCTCTGGGTCCATGGACATCGTCTTTGTACATCAGTTTCCCATCCATAACATGCAGAGTTGTTGTACAGATCAAAACCAGTGCATCTGAAAATGCCAAGCACTGGGCCTGGCATGTCATGTTTAATAAAGAACAGCTATAATTTTTATGGTTTGAAGTTTTGACTTTCCAAGACATTCTCAGAATTTCAAGTATCTTCAGCCAACATGCAGACAGAACTCAGTCAGAAGACTTAACTTCAGTGAGACTAAAGAACACACCAGCTTCTTCTGATGCTTCGCTGGTTATTTCAACCCCTGGTCTGGTGTACTTCCTTCTCCTTTTCCTCCCTTCTAAAATGTGGAGGAGAAAAGAGTGGATGGTTTTCGGGGCTTGTGGTCTGGGCCTGCAGAAAGCTATCCATCATGGTAGTCTACACCACCTAAAGCCCAAGGATTTAATGACAGTTGTAATTTTAAAATTACTCCTACCAAATGTTTGGCTTGGAAAGTGTATAATTTTGCTGATAGCCTCAACAGCTTGTTTGGGTGAATTTGTGCTCTGAGATGGCACGGTTGGAGAATTTCCAGGGCTCATGTCTATTCACAGAGTCTCATTGTATATTTCTACCCATGACTCCACTCCTAGCACTAAACTAATTTTAGGAAAAACCTGTGAACTTCTGAATGTAAATCAGGTAATTTTCAGGACTAACCGGAAAACTAGTTAAAGGCTAGATTTACCAAGTATCAGTAGTACTTTGGTACACTTTTCAGGGACATGTGATTTTGTCAATATTCATCCTAAAGTGGTTCTTAGATGACAACAGGACATATTTGGGGAAAAAGGAATAAAAAAAATGAAGATAAACTATGTGCATTGGATAAAATAAAGCAGAAAAATATCCCTCAGTGTTTTGCTCTAAATAAACTGGTATTTTTAAGTGAGCAAAACTTTTTGAGCCATACATACTGTTCACAAATTGGGGCAAGTCACAGTCAAGTTTTTATTCGAAAATTTTAATTGCCACATGGCTGGTATATGAAGAAAACCATAATATTCGTATTTGTATTCTTATATTCTGCATGAAAAATCAAATTAAAAAATGTCATTTGCAAATAAGATTAGCTATACCTAGCAGACAAATGCTTCCCACCCCACCCCATGGGTACAGGAATGGATTGAATTTACTACGTGCATACATTTACTCTGTGTGTATGTGTTTTCAAAATGTACAGGAACACCTCAGTTTGACAAAGAATTATTGCTGTGTAAAAGTATAGGAATATCTCATTGGTCATATTTATTGACAGGCACTTTCAGTATTTAATTCAGTTTTGAAAATGGGCATCAGCTTACTCCTGTTGCCAGTATGAATTCATTTAACATGTGGCCATATCCACAGCACTTTATCTTGTCGACATGAAGCTACACCTAAAAGCGATCCCTCTGGAATTAAACAAGGGTAACACCTGCACAATTTTGCGATCAAGAACCACTTAGTTGAGGAGGAAGATAACCGAGAAAGCAACTGTTAGACGCTCTTAGCACAAGCAAAATCCTGTGTAGCTGTTTTCTCCTTTTCAGGAAAAGACATTATGAGTTTGGAATTAGTTGTCTGTAGCAAGGTTAAAATGACTTCACTGGGTTTCAAACCATCTTGGCTAAATCACAACAAGTGGTGATTCCATTTTGACAGAGCACAAAGAACATACTCTGAGACAGTGGGACAGAGGTCCCATGGCAATATCGTAATTGTGTGTAAGATATACAAGGCATATCTGAACAAGGTTTTTTTATTGTGATGAAAACTAGAAGCTCTTTCCCCCAACGTACTTCATCAAACTATTTACAACCTCTGTAAAACTTGCGTGTCTGAAAATACTTTATCCACTATCACGTTACGAATACAGTAAAATATCTTCACTCTATTTTTTTAAAGATGCAGTATTCTTCTATTTCATTTTCTTATGAAAATCTGAGTTTCTATAGCAATTGTTCAGTATTTAGCATAGTCAAAATACCAATGGACATGGGTTGCTAAACAGACATTACTCTATAATGAAACTGTGAAAATATAGCATTTTTAATTTCTATGTACATTTCTTAACTATAAAATGCAGGCAAAGTCATATATAGTATTATAAGCTGATTCCCTAGCAATGTAAAGAATTTACATCTCTAGATAGTATGGATTATTACAAATTTTTTTTAAAAAAGTTCTTTGTGGGTATGTATTAGCCCACTGGCTGCTGCACGTACAGGTGTGTGCACGCGTGTGCAGATTTTGGGGCTCACTGTTCAGGTAAGTGGAAGGCAGTGAGGGGAGAAGTACAAGTGTAACATGGAAGACAGGACTCACCAACCCCTTTCTAAACTAAACCAAGTCAAACTGAAACGATTTTTTCTTAATGGTACGCATTACTTCAGAAAAACTAAAGGAAGGAATTTGCTCAGTGATGTACTAGAACACCTTTACCTAATAATTTGTAGGTATTAGTAAAGAATAAAATCTGAGAGTGGATTATGAACTATGAATCTTAAGGCTTTCTGGGCCCATGATGATTTAGCAAAGTTATCTCACATTCAGTCCCTTCTCTGCAGGCTGTAGCACAGATGCTGGTATTGTTAACACTGCTTCAATTCTGTTAGTGCTCACTGTAGAGGGTAAGACAGCTGTGTAACAACATCATGGCCACATTTCTAAGCAGTCATAACATAACAAGGATGTGTGAATACATTTGAAGGCCTCATCTTGCCGGATTTATTCAATTTCAGCTTTGGTAAGTATAATAAATAAAGTACAGAATCAGGAATACTGCATCTTTATCCATATACATGTTATCATTCTAATGAACTGATTTCAAAGTGCAGGATTTTATTTACTTTAACACATCAATGGCAATTTGAAGTTAAAACAGATTGTATAAAATGAACACAGTCTTTGCACAAGCTATTCCAAATTTCAATCATAATGAAAATAGCCGACCTAGTCACCCTCTAACTGGCATTTGTAAACACTGTAGCATTTTGTGAGTTTATCCCCTGACAATCTACTTTCCCATTTCCCACTTAAATTTTAAAGTGAATAAAAAGTGCTCTTTCAAAAAAATGGGGTACATGCTACTGGTGTTCAACTGCTTTTGAAAAAAATACGCTATGTGTTTTATAAAGGCAGTAGTATACTCTTTATGGTAAAGCCATTTACGAATCTTGGTCTAAATGCCTTAATAGAACTTAAGACAAGTTATCAAGCAGAGTCCACACAGTTGGCAAGATGAGGCAGGAAATGGATGGGGAAGTGTGACTCTCTCTCCAAACAGTTTAAGATCAGACCATAAGGGGCTCTGTTAAAACTGCAGGGACTGAACCTTATAACTTTTCAATCCCGTAACTTCCCTGTCATCCGTCTCGGCAATGTGAAGAGAAAGTCGGCTCTCCTGCAGCTCAGGTGAGGTTACTACGAGCGTGTGTGTGAGAGTTCCCCAGTATGCACATATCTCTAGCTGCAAGTTCAGCAGCTTCAAACTTAAAACCAGTGAATGTTCCTAGTTAGAGAACAACTCGGAAGTACTTTAAGATTACATCCCTTTCCTGTAATTCATCATGCACTGTGCTTTTCCAAAGCAGCCAGAAACGGCACATGATATGGACTGGAGGCTTTTCTGTGCCTACAGACATCCCATTTCCTTCTGCTCCGAACTACTTTCCTTGATGTGGGAAAACACTTGTAGGAAACTCACCAAAGTGAATTTGCTTTGTATCAAGACAAGCCCCAAATACGTTTCAATTCTAGGGCGAGCTCAGTGACTTACTTGTGCTTGGATCCCTTCCTAAAGAACTGCCGTGTCAGAAGGGGAAATGGTGCAGTGCGGACGGGATTGATCAGTTAGCTTACAATCTCAGTCTGCTTTCCACTTTGGAAGGTGAGGAAAGCTCACTTCCCCAACTCTTTCCGATGTTATTAGACAGTGCAGCTCATTTAGTCCTATGCTAACTTTAAATCAAGCTGTCACTCAGGAAGACTCCACTGCCTGTCAGTTCAGTGAATTCGAGAAGCTGTCTACTTGCAATACTCTCAAGACACCTCTCAGCAGAGAACAGGGCTGGCTCTTTTGAGAGCAGGCAGGACCAACTCAAGTCTATGTTTTGCTTGTTGATTCCCCTATTACCTGCCAACCAGGTGCTGTGGCCAGCCTTGGTGGCTCGTGGCTGTGGTCGCTCCTCTCTGTATTCTTTGCCATTGACCAGTAACCAATGCTGGCATGCATCAAGAAATCTTTTTCTATTCTGAATGGTCACAGGCAACGAGCGTTGCATACAGTACAGATAAAAAATGTTCCAGTTGATTAAAGAAAAAAAAACACTGGTTGGTGGGTAGCAGTTTGTGTAGCTGAAGAAGTTATCAATAGAACTGCAGCCCTTGCTGGAGGGAAATTGCCTGATGAATTTTTCAGACCTGGCAGCAAATATAAAGCACATATTTGTGAAGCCAGAATTTGACCTGAAGTTCCTTTAATACCATCCAACACAAATCGTCCTTGTTGCAGTGCTCATAGTTCTTGCTTCATCAGAATACGATTATCCGAATTAGAAGATGATCCTAAAAAGGGATAATTCTGTCGCTGGAAATGATTTCAGAATGTTCAAACATTTAAAAATGAGCTAGAAATATCGTGAGGTTGACTTGTGCAATTCCTCAAATCAAGTGTTTGTAATTAAAATATATGTGCAAAGATCTCCGGTGGAGACCTTCCCATCTAACCTATAAAAAATCCTAACAACGACAACATCAACAAACAACAACAACAAAAATCTTACCAAGCCCCTTAGCCACATAAAGCTGGAAAAAACCCAGCGTTTAGTGGGGACAAAAATATGATACTTTTTCGGGAAGAATGCTTGTTGGTGATGCATTGCTTTGTTTACTGCAAAAGGCTCAAGATTTTACAGGTGGGTGGGATTCTATTTTCCTCTCATCCTCATCCCAGGATGAATAGGTTCAATATCCCTGCAGATGCCAATGAGGACCCTTGAAAAAGGAAATGTGTATAGGAGAACTTACTGGAGAGTCACTTACCCTTGGCTCTCCAAGAGAGGAAGCTAGCACCATGGCAGGCTTTCTATGGGGATCATTCCCTTCCCACCACCTCGGTTCCAAGGAGAACTGACCCATTAATCAAGGAGTTAATTCCCAGTTGTCTCCTTTGCCTTTCTAGTCACCAAATAACTGTTTTCAAACAAGAAAAGGGGAGCATAATCTTTAATTGTGGTACTCAACCAAGCAGGACAACAAACAGCAGAAAGATTACCTCAGTGCTGTAAATGTAACCAAGACATCTAAAATGCTGGGGTGTTTTTTACAATCCCTTTAGTAAGTATGAAAATTGGTAACGTGAGTCCTCAGTGAAGTTATTGTAGAAAAGTCCTTTTATTCATTATTGCTTTTCTCCTCAAGAGGCGCATTATTTCCATCACTGCTTTGTCTGATTTTTCATGTGCACTGACTTTGCCTGGGCAGCCCCACCTCTTCCCTTGGTGCCAGTGTGTCTAAGAAAGTTTTTTTCCCCCTGATTCCTTGTAATCAAACACTAGGGGTAGGAAGAAATGATGCCTAGGTGACAGAACACTGCGATTTGAAGTGGGGCAGTAGTTTTTTTTTAGACAGGCTCTTCCTATTCAACTACAGAACACCGCTGTGCCAGTCCATGTCAGGGCAGAGACCAGGACTAGACTTCAACTGCAGTGTCGCTGCCCCTCTGCTGGAACAGATGAACAAAATGGAATCAAAACAAAACGAAAACAATCAATGACAAACAAATGAAAGGTTCAGTGTTGGTTTTCTTCAGGCATGGCATGAGGACCCGTCGCGAGTGGCATCTAGGTGCTGCCGTCACTATTGTACAGGGCTGCTCGAGTGTGCCTGTATGTTCAGGTAATGGGACCTCGCCAACAACGTCTTCCTTTCTACGTTCATGCTGCTCGCTGGTAACAGACTGGGCGTGTGTTCTAGCTTACTCAGATACGAACTCAAATTTTTTAAAAGGGGCTAAGGGTGGGGTGTGATGAGAGATTCATCCAAATTTAAAAGGTCTTGCTCTAGCCATCAATTTGTGGCAGATGACCTTTAAGGTACTGATAACAAAACGTCTGAAAGCTCAGAAAATGTATAGGCTACAAACACCTTTAAATGGCAGAGGACACAGCACGGAAAACAATGCCTGTCTCTTCAGCATTTGTGTCGCTGAACTCCCAGGCCAGCGCGAGGACGTCTCTCGAGCAGTCGGGGTGGGGGTTACCTTCAGACCGAAAGGAGAAGTGTTCCTTCTTGTTCCTGCTCTGGTTTCAGACATCGTGGGATGGTGATGCCCTTTTGTGTTAACACTGTGAAGGGGATTCAGCCCTGCTGAATTGGGTGCCACGAAGAGATCCAGCTCTTATGCCCAGCTGGACAGGCAGCCTTCCTCACACCAGCATATGCCTCCGGCGGTGCAACGCCAAGTGGTCTGACCGGGAAAAGCTGCGATCGCAGTCCGCACACTTGAACGGCTTCACTCCCGTGTGTTTGCGGTAATGCCTCGTTAGTTCATCCGAACGGGCGAACTTCCAGGTGCAGCCTTCCCAGGTACACTTGTAGGGTTTCTCCCCTGGAAAAGACAAAGGCACGACACTTTGGTGCTCCATCGCTTCTCCACAGCAACCCAGACAGAGCTGTGCGCGGGGAAGACTGGTGTTTTCAATGGTTCCCATTTGGTAAATCTTGGTCGGGAAACCTTACCGTCCCTCCAGGAGGGTCTGAGATCAGACAGTTCAGGGTTTCAAATTCGTCTTTCCTGTGGTAACATCAGACAAGTGAGTTAACACTTGGTCCTTAGCTATTAGGAATGCATTTGTAGTCCAAATAACGAAAAGCACAGGCCACAGGTGGCCAAGGAAGGAATAGTAGCTCCCTAGCAAGTCTGATGTAGCCCTAAGGCAGGAAGTCGAAAGGAATCACAAAGGGTAATTATGATTAGTCACACCCCCCATGTGCATGCTCAGGTGGTTTAAGGCTACTCCAGGACACAATGTCCATTTATCAGTCCATAAAGGTGTACACATACTTTCATTAACACACTTCTACCTAAGTTTTAGTTCCTAACAAGGAAGTTAAAAATATGTCTATGTAATAAGAAAGCAGCAAGAAAGTAGAAAGGAAGAAGCTGTTTGAGAGGTTCCATTTCCTGAAAATAAAGGCACATTCAACCCCCAGAAAAGAGGCCCGCATGATTCATAAACATCGATGCTTTGCTAGGACCGTAGACAGCTCAGGAGTAAAGTGTTTAAATATTTTTTCAAGCCGTAAGAGTGAGGGTGACTCTGAGGTCCCATCAAGTTGGACCAAGTGCTGAAACTCCCTGTAAAGAGCAGTCTGAAGACGTCTGTAACCTGACCAGGCCCCTCAGTCAGCTTGCAAGGACTGTAAAATATGCAAAAGCTGTGCTGGGAAAAGATACTGCATCCATTGTACATGTGGGCTCCCAGGGGGCATGGGATAATAGATGACCCAGGTGAGCTGCTTTCCTGGCCCTCTTTCAGACCGGGAGCCCTGTCCCCAGGCAACCTCACAAGAACTGATCTCTCCTTTGGCACCTTCCAGCCACCACTCCACACAACGTGCTTCTCGGCCGCACAGGGCCTCCACTTAGAAAAGGGAAGAGAGCCATGTGCTGACCCTTTCGCATACAGAGGGCTCTAAAGTGAATATTTTAACCCCACTTTGCAGATGAGAAAACTGAGGCTCCAGTAGCAAAGTGGCTTAAGGCCAGCAAAATAATGTATGTGGCTCTGAATCTAGTGCTTTCAGCAAGGTACACAGGAATGGGTAATTCTTACGCTGTCTAAACTTTGTTGCCTCCTCAATCAGAGTTAGTTCTGCTTTCTTAGGCACTGTCAAACTGTTTGCTTCCTATTTCTCTTAAATCATCTATCACAATATACCCTAAAGATTTTGTTTTGATGCCTTTCTCATCTACCAGTTGATGAATTCTTGGAGGCCAGGGACCATGCCTCTATGATTTCAGTATTCCCAGACCATAGAACAGGTCCCAAGCAAGCACCTGAATGAAGAGAACTGCAAGACACACACACACACACACACACACACACACACACACACACACACATTACTAAGTCATAAACGAGATGTGCCGGTAATGCCTACATGGGAAAGCTAGACCAAACCAGACTGGACAGTTCTCATCCAACCAAGGTTGTCTATATGGGTCCTGGTAGAAAACAGAAAACAGTGGGTAAGTATCTCCAACCTGTGTGACCTGGAAGTGCTGATGCAGTAACTGTGGGCACAGGAGGCCCTCAAAGGGCTCCTTCCAAGTAAAAGGCCACTAACTGCGGGGACCCAAAACCTCAACTTCTAATTCATTCCGCATTCCACGGAAACTCTGCATGTGTCTGTGTCTACTGAGCAGGACTGGACAGTAATTAAATAAAAATCAGTAAAACCTCTAACTTACAAAATTGGAAATCAACTATGTAATTTATTGGGGGAATGATTAACATACATGCTGAATGTCATCTCAATGTTTTTGAAATTTATATCACAAACATGCACTCTAATGTTGAGTTTGAGATAAGTCAACTCTTCAAAAACACCTCCACCTTCCAGGCACTGTGCTTAGTGAGCTGGGTGTCTCCAAAGTGCATCTCCTAGCTGTGTCCTGTGTTAGGGTGGAATCAGACACACAGAGCACTGAAGGTAAAGGAACTTCTGCGTTGGCGAACAGCACAGCTCAGGTGTGCAGAAAGAGGACGCACACTGCTCTTAGTGGGGAAGTGTCACATGCGATTAGAAAAGCTACTGAACCCTGCCCTGGCCACTACCGATAGTAGAGAGAGGGGCTCTGTCACTGAATGACCCCAAAGGGAGTAGGGGCAAGAGGAATTAGGCAAGACATCAAGAAGACATGAAAGGCTCGCATGGTCCCAAGGAGAAACTGGTCATCACCTCAGGTGATGTCTGCTTTCCCTGTACACTCACTCAGTTTAGGCATATGAAATTCTCTCAACTTATTCCTCAAAATTAAGACAGTCAGACCTTATTTTGGTAATTTCATTCATAACGGTAGTTACGTTCTTTCCACCTGAAAAGTCTACTACTGGGGATGGTAAATTATGGGTCCCATTTTTATATTTTTAAAGGCTGAACAAATATCAAAGAGGAATCTGTATACGCAAAATCATATAAAATGTAAAATTATTATAAACCAGCCACACTGATTCACTTACACAGTGGTTTTGTTATTTTCCAGTGAAGGCAGAATTGAGCAGTTGTAACACAAATCATGTTCAGTGTGAGATTCTTGCTCTCTAGCCCTCTGTAGAAAGTCCACTGACCCCAGATATTAAGAAAGGGCACTTCCGCCCTTTGTAGGCTTTGAATCTATGAAGGTACTGAGTTGGAGCACACAGTACATGCTGTTAGCTTAGGACGGGGAGGCAAAGGCGTATTTGGGTATGCTATCTGAATTCTCAACTAACAATGCTTAATTCAAATTTTAAGAATTCGCTCAGTAATAAACACAGGTATTTCTGATCTTTATTTTATTCAAGCATAAATTTAACTGCAAATATGTGCCTTGTCATCAAGCCACAGGTGGGTGGGACAGTTATATGTAAATTTAGTAAGCATCTGTTAAATATGCAGATTTAACTGACAGCTAAAAGTGTCCATCCTTACGGGATTCCACATGATATTTCAATACATGTATACACTGTAATGTTTAAACCAGGTGAAATGTGTCTACCTCTTCAAACTCCTTCTTTATTAATGAAAACTTTCAGAGCCCCTTTTATAGCTTTTTGAAATGTCTGGTATGCTGCCATGGTCTGTAGTCTGTTGTGCAATGGTCCAACGGGTCTTCCTGCCTCTATCTAACTGCAGCTTCATACACACCGATCAGCCTGGTCCCACCTCTCTCCACCCCCGTCTCCTCCCTACATGGTGGTGACCCTATTCTCTCCACTTCTATGAGATTAACATACTACGTCCAGTGTACGAGCGCAATCCTGTGTACTCGTCTTTCTGTGCCTGGCCACACATGCTATTTCATGACAAACACTTTAAACTGAGACTTCTGTGTGAAAGAGCGTGAGTGACTACCCTAAAAGGCTCACCCAATTTCTATCAGAAATAAAAAAAAAACAGCCTCAGGATCTTTTCTGCTCACTGAAAAAGAGCCTCTGAAGGTGAAGACCAGAATGGTGTCAGCACCAGGAACGCTTCTCCAGGTTTTAGCTGAGAACCCAGAGCAGTGATTCTACATCACGTCGGAGCCCTGCACCTCCAACTACCTTAATATCCTTTGTACACAAGCTCACTGGAACAGGGAGGAGTCACCACTCTGCCGAGTCAGGGCAGGGTGAGCTCATGGGAAGCCACATGGTGAGCCACACAGTAGGGCTCAGATGCTGCAAATCGTTTCTCAGATGGGTGTTTTCAAGTGGCAGCACGGGTTTGTCTGAGCCCACCACGGGGAGCAGGGAAGCAAGTATAAAACTGAAAAGCAGTTCGTGCGGTGATGACCAGGTGTGATAAGCCATCACAGAGACAAGGAGAGAGACCTCAGGAACACCATAAGTAGAACTTCTCCACTTCCCCACTCAAAACCAATGAAAGAAGGGCTAGGGATTTAGCTCAGTGGCAAAACGCCTGCCTGGCAAGCGCAAGGTCGTGAGTTCGGTTCCCGGTACTGGAGAAAAACCAAAAAAAAAAAAAAAAAAAAAAAAAAAAAA